GTGGCTTCCCACGGTAGGCCGGGGCGGCCATGTTGTGGGGTGGGGTGGGGGAGAGGGTAGGTCAAACCCATCCTCTGCCAGTGGGCTGCAGAAGCAGAGAGCTTGGGTGACCCCAACAGCGTCACAGCGCTGACAGCCTGAGGCAGCGGTGATTCCTGAGGTAAAGATGGCCTCGGGAGGTGGGCCAGCCATGGAGCCTGCCCGGGCAGCACTGTGCGAACGAGAGGTTATCAGGGTGCACCAGGGACAACGGGCAGCCCTCAAAACCTTGATCCGTCAGTGACCACAGGGACAGGCCTGCAGCAGGTTGGGAAATTTTGAGAACGGTGGGTAAATACTCTATTAATAGGCAGATATTAATAGCAACAGTAACAGTATGGTAACGGGGTTAATATGAGCTTGCACTTAAAGAATGTTGAAAGACTTTCCAACAATCATGAGAAAATTTTCCACAGATTTTGATGCATAGCTCCAGATGTGTGCCCGGTGTAGCTATTTTACATATTTCTTGTGAGACATATTGCTCACTCAGCCCCTTCGGATTTTGGCCCAAATCACCCTGGTGCTACAAATTTTGTGCATGACAATTAAACACCAAATCTTGCATAAAAAGCAATATTAAAATGGAAGTTTTGTGTATGTTTTAATGGCACACTCACCTTTGGAAAAAATGAATGAAAAATTTATATGCTTTATATTCTGTTTTCCTCTTTCTTGGGCAAAATTAGTTCACCACTTGAAAAAAAAACATTCTCAAGCAAAATTCTGGCCCTTTGTATTCAGGTCTTTGGCTTGGAGCAAAGACTTCAAAAGAATGAGAATGGAGGACTGGGGTTTTTAAATCACTTTTAGGAAAACGGGTACCACAAAGGTTTCTCTGATCTTATAATTATAATGGGTACTCGGATATTGTGGTGCTGAATTCATTATTATAGAATAGATGTGAATACAAAACCCAAGTTCCTGTTTAACTGCAGCTTACAGAAAAAGCTAGGTTTGTCATTAAATGTATTTATTTATTGACTGAGTTTGTTGGTCAGGATATGACTGTAGAGATGAAACATCTAACTTTCAAAGTCATTTTTGTAGGACACAGACAGGATGCAATCACTCCATGTACATTTTTGACATCACTGCAATCCACAGTCTAGGCTGCATAACATGAAAGAACATACATTGCAAGAAAGATCTGGTTTTCCTTTAAAGGCTTTCACGCTAGGGAAAACTTCCAGACATAAACACAAATCACACACATATTTTCTCATCAAATTACCAAGTATTTTAAATTGGAGCAAAGCTGATTTCTTTTACAACTGGCTTTGTTCTAATGATTTTACAGTGAGCATCTCAACGGCAGATGATTGGAGTAGTATCTCATTCCTCTCTGCTGCCCTACTGCAAGTTGGTAGGAGTTACATGAGCAGCTGTTGGGCTGACCAAACCTTTGATTGGAAATGAGAGCATGTGGTGAGCCATGAGTGCTTCGACTGCTCAGAAGCAGTAGGTATGGCTGCCCTCTGCATTGCAGATTATTTCAAGGCTTCCCCCAGCACCGGGCTCAGCAGAGTGCAGAGAGCAGCCCACGGGCACTGCACCAGGCGCAGCAGCCCCAGCATGCAGAGCCCTGTCCAGGAATGTTGCTGGTGTTCAGGTCTGGATAGTCTGTCTGAAGGCATCTTCCAAGCCGATGGTAACAGGGTGGGAAGTGAGTTGCAGTGACTGTGGTTGCTAAAGAGGCCATTCTTGTATGTGAACACTCTTAAAAGAGTATGTGGACATACTCTTTAGAGTGTGTGGACACTCTAAAATTAGTGTGAAAATAACTACCGCTCCTCTAAAATGGTTACTTCTGTAAAGTTACAGTGATGATTTTCACATGTTGCTTTTAAAGATAACCTGCAAATTATTATTTTTTTAAGAATGTTTTTTTCATCATTTTGTGTAGAGGCGGTCTGAAATGTATGAATGTTTTAAATATTTTCCGGATGTTTTTTACCTCAGCATTTTTGGAATGTCAAATCTGGTCTTTTTGGTTTAGCCGGGGGACTCCACTGAGGTTTCAAGCAATCTTCAGACCATGGATTCTTTTATCATTTAAAAATGAGGAAATTGTTTACTCTTTAAAAAAAACCTATACTGCTTCAAATGTTCTTTTAGCAGTTAAATTGGTATTAACAAACATAAAACCTCATTAAACAAAGTTTTAGACAGCCTGACTTAAAGCAAATTCCTGTTTCAATTACTTAGCTTTTTCTTGCCTGGATCCCAGCATGGCATCATTTCATGAGAGGTCTGTACGTTTCCCACTGAAGCCTCAGGGAGAGACTTCCCCAGTGGACTCAAAACTTGTCAGGACAGAGGCACAATATGGCTGGCGGCGCAAAGGCTGCCACATACCGACCTCCTCTGCCCATGGAGGAGGAGATCTACGGAAGCCAGCTCTCTTCTGGGAACTCTACTGCTATATTAAAGCAGTTTTTGAGCTAATATATTCTGCCTTTCCACTAAATTTAATGGTACTTTTTACCCCTCCCATTCCCAGAGCTTTTTTGTTTATAGAGGGGTGGAAGATAGAAATACCCACTGATTTACACCATCAGTCCTACTTAATAATAGCAAAAGGAGTATTTTGTCCAAGGCAACTTGCCTTTGTATCCACCATTTTTAATATTGATGCAGCTTTTTCACTTTTCAAAATACAATTCCTTTGACGTATCAGTGGGCAATCTGTTCTGAGTACGTGAACCTCTATCAGAAGAAAACCTTTATCCTGTGGGACTGGGAAACTCTTTCACTGGTTTCTGTCAACAGCCAGTTATAACCTGTTAAAGTGAAAGTACTTTTTATTTGTTTTTAATCGAATCAAATAAACACATTTTCTTTGATCTTTAAGAAGCCCTTTCTTGTTAACTTGCTTTATACTTTTATGTTTTGGCATTCATTGTAAATTTAATTATTTAAAAAGTTATTTTGTTTTAAATTATTAAACCTTTTCTGAATTTAAGATAAACAGGGGCATGTTTTGTTAAAGATTAAAAATAAATTTCACACAAAACTGCAAAACGTAGCAAAGATAATAATGTGTAGGCGTCAGAGTGTTCCAAAACAAGACT